AACCTATCTTTCCTCCTCCATCTGCAGGGATTTTAAACCTACGATAGTGTCTGAAATGCCATTTCACAGCCCCCTCAAAATACTTAAATTGAGGATGTGTAATAATACATCACCATGTGGTTCATGATTTCTGCAGTGTTGCAGCTACAAACTCAAACATCCCCTAGAAGACCACTAAAGGACATAAAATTAGAAGGCACTTTTTAAGAAAGTTATTTGATGTGGCTGCTATGGCTTGAACATGTACCCTTTAGAATTCAGTGTTTGCCAATGTGAAAGGATTAAGAAGTGGGGCCGTTAGGAGGTGATCAGGCCATGAGGGCTTCTCCCACGTGAATGGGATTAGTGCCCTTACAAAATGGCTTTCTGCCATGTGAGGACACATTGTTCCTCTCTCTCCAGAGGATCCAGCATTCAAAGAAGCTGAGAGCTGCCCTCAACAGGTGCCAGCACTTTGGTCTTAGAAACAGACTAAACCTCCAGAATTTTGAGAAATAAATATCTCTTCTTTACAAATTACCCAGTCTGTGGCATTTTCTTATAGCAGCACAAATGGACTGAGACAAAGCAGACTTCCTATGACTCTCAGGCAAGTTCTTACAAATTTGGATCTAATGTTACTTCCAACAACATCCCTGGTTCATAACAGGTGTATGAGTCACAACAAGATGAATGAATCACAGCATGAGAATCTAGACTAAAAGGATATTGAGAAGCATCTCACTGGATCCAGGAACATGAGCAGAGTCACAGGAGAAACAAATCTAAATCCAGTTGATGTAGTCACCCTTCTCCATCTTAACCAAAGTTCAGTTTTCACCTGGACAAACTTCTCACATACAGCCCAAGCATAAGAATATCACCCCGCTTCTGTAAAACCCACAATCAAACTCCAAATGAGTAAGTAGCTCAGTGCTCCCTGGACAGTGTTTTTCTGTCCCAGCATCTTTTCTCAAGCATTTGCCTCCACTCAGAATGGCCCTTGCCTCTTTTGAGTCTCGGCATGTTAAAATTCTATCTCCTCTTTCAAGGTATCTCTTCCACAGTTGACTTGATCTCCAAATCAGGTCATCTCCTGCTTGTAGCACTGTTTGTACTCTTTTCTGGCATTTAACTTATTCTATGCAAGAGTCAGTTGAGTATTGTCATATGGAAGTGCTTAAGGGTAGATAGGCTCTTTGCTTCAGTTGGCTGTGGGTAGGCCCTGGCCAGGCCTGCCAAGATCAGCCCTCTCAGGCCTTGAACAGGCTGGTAATCATTGCACTACTGCAGCAGGTATACACAGGTGTAATGTTCAATCAACCCTTTGCAACCTAGAGTGAGGCAAGATGGAACTGGTAATCTAATACGATATCACACTTGGAACCTGCTTTTTAGATCCAGGACAAAGAGAGAGTTTTGAAAGGAAGCTTTTGTAACCACATGATACAATGATACTGCTGTTTCAGAGGAACTTTTAAAATGAATCTGACCTAGTAAGCCCCCATGCAGGCTTACCAAGAGCTGGCAGGACCTGGCCTGGAAAAGGAAGAATACACTGTCTTCAGCCAAGCTCACCTAACATCCACTGGCCTTTTAGCAAAAGGTTTAAATTCCAGTATGTTTTCATAAAAATGTATCCTTTTCACTGAATCCTGATAAGCCGTCATTTCTAAAATTAAAAATTTATATGTCACAGTTTTTGTCTGTCCAATCTTCAACCACAGTTCCCTGTGTAGGATAGTTCAATAAGAGATTCAAAAGTTCCTAAAATTTAAAGTATTTTCCTCTAACAGGACAGCCCTTTAACATTCTCAAAACTAATACCTCCACAAGTTCTTGAGTTCAATCCCCAGCACCCAAAACAAACAAACAAAAATATCTCATATGAGATGGTAATATTTTATTTTAGTTTTTCATTTATTTATTTACTTACCTAGTTTTTCAGTACTCGGGACTGAACCTGGGGCTTCCAGCATAATAGGCAAGCACTGTCCTGAACTACAGCCCCACCCCAGATGTTATAAGTTTAATACAAATCTAATTTTTAATAAACTGTTCTATTCACTCACTTTATTGAGGGGAAAAAAAAAACAGGACAATGTGTGATTTGCTACATTTATCCATTTGTTACCAGTTTTCCTTTTCCTTGGCAGAAAAAAAAAATAGCAATAGACCAAGATGGCCGAGTTTATTCAAGATTTCAAATTGTAATGCTTTGGTAAAGCCTGGGTCAGAGACCAGATCTGAGTTCTAAGTAGTACAAAGGAGGGTTGTGGCTAAGCTTCACTTTTTAGGTATCCACACCATCTGATGTCACCTTTAGAGGAACTAGATACATATCCTCATGAGATCACACTCAGAAACCATGTTCTTTCTCAAGGTTTTTTTGTTAGGTGATTTTTTTTTTCCAGTACTGAAGATTGCAACAGGGGGACTCTACCACTGAGCTCCATCCTCAGTCCTTTTTACTTTTTATTTTGATACAATCTTGCTAAATTGCCCAGGCTGACCTTGAATTTGTGATCCTTCTGACTCATCCTTCCTAGTCACTGGGATTACAGGCAACCATGTATACCTCCTTGAGGTATTGAGGAATAAAAAGTGGCTCAAAAAAATGGAGACAAGTAGAAAAGAAAAATTCTCCAGTTGCTTCAGTCTCATCATCCCATCATCCCTGGTACATCCCTGGTACACAACCTGTTTCCTAGGTTCTGATCCCTTAGTTGATCTTTTCTTCTAAGTTCTTTGACATTTCTGGTGATTACATAGGTTAAAGGAACAGATTCATTCTACAAGTTGGCTGAATGATAGCCAACTTGTTTACAGAAAGCCTAGGCAGATAGCAACTGGCTTCAATTCTGATTCTCAGGAGGTATAGCTTTGTGCTATATATAACTGCCCTGTGCTACCACATTTCACTAATAGGTCCACCAGGACACTTAGAACACAGACTTTTCTGCCAAATTAAAATAACACAGTCATGGATTAGAGTAGAACTCAAGTCAACTGTAAAGTCAAACTCAGCTTCAATGCTGTTCCACAGCCATGGTTTTCAGCATAACTTTTGCTGATGCATCTTGTCTTTGCCAACTAGAAAAAGAGTTGCAATCAACAGAGGGAGATTTATGTATTTCCATTCCCTAGTACTAGCAAATACTCAGTAACTGCTGAACAGATTGATTTTTTTTTTTTAAATTCAACTTCAAGTCAAGTTTTGGTCATTGTTGCAAGGAATCTGGTCTACTCACCAGATGGTATTCAAGCAAGAGATCTGTCAAGTGCCTGCTCTTTAAAACAAAGGTCTGTCTTTAAAAGTTACCTTTGAAATCTTCAATTAAAAAAGAAACAAATGGATATATAAGCCCAAAAAAGAGCTAAAGGACATTTTAAGAAAAACAAAATAAAAACAAAACCTCAAAAATTTCACAAGTAGTAGATAAGGAAACTATGGTTCCCATTTGTAAAGTAAAATGATCAAAATAAATCATTACCCTGGAAAACAGCATGGAGCAAGTAAGTACAACAGCAGTTTTCAATTACATTGAAAAATTTAAAAATGATGATGAATTGCTTTATTCAATTGAAGAGTTCACTGTAGAAGACACAATTTTGAATATTCAGATGAATATGGTAATAAATTGGTAGGAATTAGGTCTCTTGTAATAAGTACTGAATTACCAAAGATGACAATCCAATATCAATAATAATAAGAAAATAATGGGGCTGGGGATGTGGCTCAAGTGGTAGCGCGCTCGCCTGGTATGCATGCGGCCCGGGTTCAATCCTCAGCACCACATACCAACAAAGATGTTGTGTCCGCCGAGAAATAATAAATATTAAAAATTCTCTCTCTCTCTCCTCTCTCACTCTCTCTTTAAAAAAAAAAGAAAAGAAAAGAATAAAGAAGCTGTTTATTTTAGTCAAAACTTTAATGACTAAATAAAGACAAAGTGGGTAGAAATGGAGATATTGAAGGAACATAAATACAGGACAAGGTATAATGGGTAGAAAAGGAAGCAATTTGATCTGTGAAGATTTGAGAACACATATACATATTTATACACATACATGTAATGTGTATATACATGCATAAAGTCATTTTTCTTTCAAATGTGCATGGTCAGAGAAGAAACTATACCCCTAAGCCAAGAATTGAAGAGGGAGTAAAACCATGATTCAGGGCATTTAAACAGGCAAATTAATTCAAACATGAATTGCAGATACACACATTCTTAAAACCAAGAAAAGTAGTAATTAGAAAAAGAAATCTTTCATTGATGACAGAAGGAGGAAATTTACATGTGGAAAAAGCAGAAATATTAGTAGAACAGGCACCAGTTTGGAAATTCAGTTTGGAGAAGCAGCACCATACAAAATAAGGGATTTTAAAAAATTATTTATATATATATATATATAATGCATATTTAAATCTATAAGTACTTATACATATATAATTATTATATTTTATATAATATACATGTACATTTATTTATATACATGACATATAAATAAATACTGAATATACATAAGTACTGTATAAATATATAAGTATCATATATGTATATTTGAATATATATATATATATATATATATATTCACACACACACACATTAAGCACTTCAAAGACTGTATTTGAGTGTATAAGTTTCTGAAAAAGACACTCAAGTACAACTTCTACTTATCTGTAGGAATGGACTCCTGGGGGGCTTAGTCTAGTTACTTTACAGGTATTTAACCAAGGTAATTCTACTACAATTTGACTGAAAAGTTTTTAAAGTATTACAATGCAAAGTGTTAAATGCAATGCTGTGGTAAGTGCAAAGGTAGCCACCAAGCTTGTGAAAGGAGAACATAGGACATTCAGGAAGGTAGGGTATGAAGATTTCCAAACAAGACATGAGTGAAATGCAAAGGAGAAAGAGGATATTACAATAACAGTGCCTCTTGCCTCACAGGTTTATACTAAGTAAAACAAGAATGCACCTGAGCACAATTGCCTTCAGTGTCTGATCACCTACCCACAAGTTTCCTCCTTTGTTGTATGGTAGTAGGTCTTGTCCAGATTGTCTACGTAGGTAACTTTACTTGGTCTCTCCAACACCTGGTGAGGTTATGGAGACAAGAAACAAATTTAGATATCTAGAATTCTGCCTGGTCTAGAGGAGCTCCATACACGTTGGTAGAATGATACTGAATCAAAGGCAAAGAGGCAGTCGCATCCATAAACACGAGTTTAATTAGCTCTTGAGGCTGTACAAGCCCCCATTCTCAGAGTCCACTCCTGGGATTTAAAAGGGCTACACCAGTCAGTGCTGTAAGTCCCCAAGAAGTCTCAAGAGAGGGATCAAGGGTAGAAAGCGGGAGACTCAATTCTTTTCTGCTGGGTCCAGGGACAGAGCCCTGACTTCCCCGTAGACCACAGCGCCTCCAGCCTAGGGAAAGGGTCGGTAGGGGGTGGTAAGGTTCTTGGTTTACTCACGCCGGGCACCCACCGGCTCTTCCCACTATACAGTGGCCTCTCTTCGGACACTCTCGGGAAAACCAAATTAAGAAATGCTCGCGATCAGACGAGAAATTGCACGCTAGCATTGCATGCATCAAGAGGTGGCCGCCTTCTTGGGAACTGCCCGCAGAGCCCCAGAGCGTTTCCTCCACGCTGCCTGCCATGTGAGGCGCGTTTCCTCCACGCTGCCTGCCATGTGAGGCGCCGCCCAATGTAGGCTGCGGAATTCCCCACGTCTCCCCAGATTGTAAAATTCCCCGAGTATGGTCAAAGGGCGAAAACCGAGCTCCAGCTCCGGGAAGTTGCCTGATGCCCGAAGGACACCAAGACTGAAGGGAAGCTGCTGGGGCGCCCTGTCACCCAACTGGTAACGGCGGTGGAACCAGGGACAGCTTGGGGACCAAACCTACTTGCGTTTCAGCTTCCTTGAGGGCGCCCGGCCAAGGCTCAAAAAAAACTGCCCACGACCTTCCTATGCCTGTTGCGCAACACTCCCAGGGAGGGGGGACACCAGGTGTCCCTGCAGACCAGCAACTGGATTCACCTTGGAAAAGGGTGTAAGTTAGCAAGTAATGGTGTTAAAATGTAAAGGCCAGTTAGAGACGGAATGTACAACAATTTCAGCAGGACATTCGACCCAAAAGGTACCAGAAAAACAAGTGTTGAGAGAGGGAGAGAGAAAATATGGATTCCTGTATGACAAATACATTCAAAGTTATCTTCCAAACAACAGTCTTGAAAAAATTATATTCTGGAGTTGAAACGGGGAGGGGGCGGGACAAAACTTCAGTCCCTCTTTATCTGAAATCTCTTACATAAAGCAGGTCAATCCCGCCAGATCCTGTTCTTAGTTTTAGATTATTCCGGTTTATCAACGTCCTAAGTGCTTTACGTATGTTACCCCCTATTGGTTCCACCTTCTGTTGTGAAATAACGAATTTCAAAAGTCAACTAATCTTCTAGAGGGCGTCAACTCTTTGAATTCACTTCCTGCTCCCTAGAATCATTTACTCTTTTTCAATGGCCTTTGTTTTACCAGTTTGGGTTGTTAATATTAAAAAAAAATATGCCCTCCGTCCAAATCTCGACAGTCAAATGAAAACTTTTAGAAATGATGTTACATGTCTCTATCGTTTTGAAGGTGTCTGGAAGTAAGCGGTAGAAACAACTTCTTTTTGGGAGGGGGGTGACTTAAATTCTTATCAGTCTAGCACTCCCAACTTTCCCAAGGCAAGCTTGTAAGTTGCCAAAACATACATTAAACCGCTTTGGAAAACAACCCTGACCTATTTTACCTCGCTATTGCAAAAAAGACTAAAACTTCCCGCTGGGCCAGACTTTCCGGTTGAGTAAAGAAAAAGTCCCCTTTGTCAAAGTTTCGACAGTTCGCCTCAGAAGCAACTCTCCAGATCATTTTAACCAAAGTTTACAGCCGCTGGGGACTGGCCACCAAAGCTTGAGACCAGTTTGCACCTCTGGAGGCTGATGTGGGGTGGTCTGCGACGGCCCAGCAGTCCCACTCTTTAGTGGGTCCAGGCGGTCGGAGCAAACCGGACCTCAACAGGGACCCCGGCAGCCTGAGGCGACCTTCAGCGCAGGGTAGAGGGAGTGGGGCCGAGGAGGCGGGGGCGCTCCGCCCAGCCAGTGCCAAGGGGCAAACCGGAAAGAGTCCACAGAATTAAATCACCTGCATAAGGCCCACCCCGCTCCTGGCTTCTGCTGAGCCCCCTACAGGGGTGAGTGTTAGGAGCTGCAGTCCGCCAGCAGCCCCCTGGCGCGCTGCGCACTGACGCGCAAACCCGGTGTGCTCCGACCCCGAGAGCCGCGGGTCTCGCGCTACTTGCCTGCGGCCCTGCGCAGGAGCAGCTGGGGAGCACCGGTACGTACCGTCCTGCTCCCGCCCGGGCTCTCCTCCGCTCCGACCCCTGGGCCTTCACTCCCCCAGACACCGGAAGGCACTGTCGGCGTGGAGGCCTAGAAACTGACGTGGAGCCGGCGATTATAGGGCGTAGCGCTTCCCTTCCCTCCCACTGCGGTAGCCTGGGCTTGCCCTGGACGTGTCTCAACTTACAGTTTCCCTGAGCGGTCCAGAGACCCCACGCACGAGACCCCTAGGAGTCCCCTTTGAGTTGAAAAACCAGCGAGACCGTCAACCGCTGCTTCCTGTTAATGCTTTCCTGTTCTACAACAGCTGAGTGCTCTGTGAAACCGTATTGGATGTTCGAAGTTTTGTTTTATGGTCTCCGCTAGTGTGTGGGAATAGTAAGTGGCAAAAGTGAACATGCTTTATGGTTTAATCTATTCCTAATAACTACTTCCCCGAGATATTTTAACTATTCCCCCCACTCCCTGTCATTGCTTTGTTTTGTTTTTAAGGGTGGGTGGGGGGATTTTTTAAGTGCGTGTGGGTATTTGCTGGGGGATCAAGCTCAGGGAATTTCCAATGCTAGTGAGATAGGAACTTGGGAATATGGAAAAAGAAAGATACACAGTCTCAGAAGTGCCTAGAAACTGATGGAAAGCAGGAAAAGCCCATAAACCTTTGAAATGTAAAACAAGCCTTTCCCACCAGCCCCGCCCAGGTCCTTAGTCCTCTACCTAAGGGGCTTAACCCTTAAACCCTGCTCTTGCCTGCACAAAATAACACGAGGGAAATGTGCAAGCGCTAGAAAAGCTGGCAGGAAATCGAATCACTCCACCCTGGCTCCACCTGTAGGCCAGCCCCTAACTACTGTCTGTCTGCATGAAAATATATATATATATACATATATATATGTATATATATATATTTAAATATATATATTCAACTCAGGGGCACTTTACCACTGAGCCACATCCCTAGCCCTCCTTTTTATTTTGTTAAAAGCCTCGCTAAATTGCTGAGGCTGTTTTTGAACTTGTGAACCTCCTGCTTCAGCTGGGATTACAGGAGTGCTCCACTTTGCCGGCCCTCTATAAATATTAATACCCCATATCAAGATGTTGCTATATCTCTAGTAATGGCCAGTTTACTACCTCAAATGTGTATTTATTACTTTACCCCAAAAGTTCTCTCTCTCTCTCTCTCTCTCTCTCTCTCTGACATTGTCTCTTATATACGTCTACTTTCCCATATAAATCTATGTCTCTGGTATGTGCCAAAATTCTTGTCCGTTTCATATGCCAAGAACTCTACTTTCCGCGTGTCCTGAGTAGAGTACCCCTCTATAGGACCTCCTGTGACATTAGGACAAGTTATCTACCACTGGATTATATGTCCAATCCTTAAAGTTTTCTTAATTTTTGGCTGGAGTTGTAGCTCCATGGCACAATGTCTAATTAGCACGTGCAAGGCCCTGTATTTGATTCCTAACACAACTTTTTTTATTTTTTGACAGGAAAATTACAAGAATAATACCAAGAGATTAATACTGATATGACAGCATAAAGAGCTGACCCACCCTAAGTGAAACTATTGAAAATTATGGCCCTAAAGGCAAATAGCAAATAAACATCAATCTAAAAAAAATTATATGAAAATTTTTCCATGAAAAAGTCCTGGACTGTGGTACCAAGTCTGTCTGCATGAATCAATACTGTCCTTCCCCCTCTCATTTTGCAAGACAGATTCGAGACTGCTGCAACCCAAACCACAAAGCTTCCCAGTAACACTCATCAGAGGAACAGGATGTCAGCATTCTTATTCCTTTTCTTTTCCTAGGCACATGATGCTGAGGCTAAATCATGGGTTAGACTAAGTGTGGATTAGAGATAAGGGATTCCCTTCCATCCAGCTGCAATTCATGGAACAGATGCTCCACCTTGGGCTGGAGTGCTAAGATATTGGAATTCTGATTACCTTTAACCCAGCTCCTCAAATGGTACTCACATGAAGAGAGAAGCTGGGAGGACTTCAGCCTGCTTCCCTTTGTCCACCTAAGCTCTTGGACCACAAACATGACTCTAAGAGAAGCTTGCTATTTTCTAACCCCAGATCCAGGGACTTGATTCAAAGATTGTGCTTGGGGGTTAAGCAATCCATAAAACAGCCCTTTATCTCTTCCCTAAAGAATGACTTCATTTGCATCAGAACATGGAAAAGTTCAAGCCAAAAAGTGATCTAGCAGAGATTATGATAATAGATAATTGGGAAGAGATTCAAGATATAGTAGGCTCTCTATTCACTAGTTAAGTGTCCATGGATTCAACCAACCTCATACCAAAATGAAAAAGAAATTGTGTTTTTACTGAACATGTTCAGGCTCCCTGCCCTTATCATAATTCCCTAAAAATACAGTATAACAGTCATTTATGTAGCATTTACATTATATTAGGTATTATAGGTAATCCAGAGATTATTTTAAATATACCAAAAGATGTGTGTAGTTTATATGCAAATACTAACCATCTCATAGTAGGAATTTGAGCATCCAAGGATTTTGATACATGCAGGGGGTTCTGAAACCAATGGATGTAGAGAAAACTTGTAGGCCAGCTAGCTTTCAGGAAAGAACAAATTAAGATAGCTGAGAAGAGCTCTCCTAGAGTAAGAACAAATATTACACAATGACCTTGTAAACTATTCCTTCAAAGGGGTTAAATTTCAATTGGATTTGTCTATGGAGCAATTTATTTTGAGTACCTTTGGAAATAATAAAACAATCAGCTGGAAATTAATGATGTTTAACATCTAGATGTGAGTGGTGAGATGAATTTCATCGAATCCAGCCAATCACTGAACAAATACAGATGCGCCTTAATTTAAGATGGGTTATGTTTTGATAAACCCACTATTTTAGTCAGCTTTTTCACCACTGTGACTAAAAGACCCAGGCAGAACAATTACAGAGAAGAAGTTTATTTGGAGGCTCACAGTTTCAGAGGTCTCAATCCATAGACAGCTGGCTTCATTCCTCAGGACTTGAGGTGAGGCAGAACATCATGGTGGAAGAGTGTGGTAGAGGTAAGCAGCTCACATGGTGATCAAGAAGCAGACAGAGAGACTCCACTCTCCAGATACAAAATATATACCCCATGGCCACGCCCCCAGTGAAACATTTCCTTCAGCAACATTCCATCAGTCTCCAGTCACCATTCAGTTAATCTCACCAGGATTGATTAACTGATTAGGTTAAGGCTATGACCCAATCATTTCTTCAAACCTTCTTGCATTGTCTCACATGTGAGTTTTTGGTGGACATTTCATATCCAAACCATAACACCCACCGAAAACATAAGTTGAAAATGTATATAATACACCTAATTTATTGAATATCATAGTTTAGTAACACAGTTCATCATAGAGTATCAGTTGTTTGATCTCTTGATTGTGTGACTTCTGAGAGCTGCAGCTTTCTGTCATTGCCCAGCATCACAAATGAGTATTATAGTATTATGGCTAGCCCAGGAAAAAGTCCAAATTCAAAACTTCAAGTAAGATTTTTACTGAATATGTATGACTTCCACGCCATCATAAAGAGGAACATAGTAAATCTGGGATTATTTGTCATACTGACAAGTCCCAGGGACATGGAGGAGAGATCAGTACTGAGAGTTGTCACATATATTATCTTAAATATCCTTTTTTTCCTTTAATTTTTTTTAGTTGTTGATAGACATTTATTTTTTTATTTTTATGTGGTGCTGAGAATCGAATCCAGTGCCTCACACATGCCAGGCAAGTGCACTACCGCTGAGCCCCAGCCCCAGCCCCTCTGAAATATCCTTTTTCCAACAAAGAAATTATCAGGCAGGCAAGGAAACGGGAAACTATGACTCATACATTGAAAACAAAACAAAAAGCTTATGAGAATGACCAGATGTTGGATTTGTCACAAAAAAAGGAATTCAAATAGCTATTATAAACATGTTCAATGAACTAAAGAAAATATGATTAAAGAAGTAAAAGGTAGGGTGGGGTTGTAGCTCAGTGGTAGAGTACTTGCCTAGTACATGTGAGGCTCTGGGTTCAATCCTCAGCACCACATAAAAATAAATAAAGGTATTAAAAAAAAGTAAAAGGTAAGGGTGACATTTATTTGCTGTCACAACAAATAGAGACTCAGTAAAGAGATAAAGATTATTTTAAAATTAACCAAGTAGAAATTCTAGAAAATATAATTCTGGAAATTATGAAAATACCAAAAATTGCAATAACTGAAATAACTTCGTTAGGGGCTCAATAGCAGATTTGAACTAGCAGAATAATAAGCTAATTTATAGACAGATCTATTAAGATTATACAAGCCAAAGAATAGAGAAAAAGAACAAAGAAAAATGAAGGAAATCATAATATAATCCCAGCGATTTGGGAGGTTGAGGCAGGAGGATCATAAATTTGAAGCCAGTCTTGGCAATTTAGCAAGAATCTAAGCAAGTTAGAGAGACTTTGTCTCAAAATGAAAAACAAAAAGGCAGATACTGGGGATGTGGCTTAATGGTTAAGTGCCCCTGGGTTCAATCTCTGGTGGTGGTGGGCGGGGGTGATGAAGAAAGTCTCAGAGAAATGAGGGACACCTTTAGGCACAGCAATAGACTTGGAAAGTCTTTCAAGACTTTAGCCAATTTCCCCATTGACTTTTAGTAACAGATAAAGACAGATGTATGGGAAGTCACTCTGAATGACCTGCGCCTTCCATTCTGAAGCAAGAGGCTCTGACTGATCACTACTAGTGACTTGGGTGATGTCCTAGTTCAGAAAGTTGAGGGCGTGTCTTCAGATGTAGGCGCGTCACCCATGGAGTTGAGCTACACTCACCTATTCCTTTGTAATACTATCCCTTTGCCCTCTTTGGGATAGAATGTTCCATGGGAATTCCCTTTGTGTGTCCCCTTCTCTTGCTCTGCCTTTGGGTGTGGCCTTCCTAGATGTCACTCAACCTGCTGACAGCAGACATCAAGAAGCTAGACTCAACCCCCTGAAACCTGACCCCTTGCCTCATTTGAATGGCTTCTGCTCAATAAAAGGGTCAGCAGGTGCTCCCTCCCCTCCCCACTCTTCTCACCCTTAAGGTCAGAGGAGCCAGCACAGAAAAAGATATTGCTGTCTCTTGTGTGATTATTTTGTGCAGCCCAGTTCACCTGGAGTGACCCTGAGTGTTTTAGTCAGGAAGAACACAACACAGATGTATATTATTGTGACTTCATTATTATTTTCTTTTTGATGTTAGTATGTCCTGCCTTGTATTCTCTCTAATATATAAAAATTATTTGGGGCTAGGGATGTGGCTCAAGCGGTAACGCACTCGCCTGGCATGCGTGCGGCCTGGGGTTCGATCCTCAGCACCACATACAAACAAAGATGTTGTGTCCGCCAAGAACTAAAAAAAAAATAAATATTAAAAATTCTCTCTCTCTCTTTAAAAAAATTGTTTTGATAATTTTTAAAAGTTTCCATCTCATCAGAAAGTATTACATTGTTTTTTGCGGGGTTTTTTTGGTTTTTTTTGGGGGGGGTATCAAGAATTGAACCCAGTGGTGCTTTACCATACATCACCAGTCTAGTCCCTTTTCTTTTCTTTTTTTTTTATTTGGCAGGGTCTTGCTAGCTAAGTCACTGCCTGGCCTCAAACTTGTAATCCTCCTTCCTCAGCCTCCTTAGTTGCTGGGATTACAGGTGTGCACCACTGTGCCTGGGATAAAAATGTTACATTGTTATTTCAGGGTTTTCTGCGAGATATATTCAAGGTAATTGGCTTATTATAATATGTATATTCACTATATATGATGTTAAAACTCTGCTCAATAGTGAGCAATACTCTTAATCACTCATAAAAACATATTTGATAGAAAGGTTGTCTGTACTGGAAATTATCACACATTTGATTAGTAATGATGTCACTAAGTTAATCAAGTTGAGAGGCTTAAAATAATAAATTCTACAGTCCATAGTAATATCAAAAATTTTTTCTAAGATAGCACAAGCTGGAAATTCAATTTCCAAAACATCTTTCAAATTTTTTAACAGGCTCTTTTCTGGATCCCATGAGTTATATGTTCCTGCTCATTTTAATTCCCTGGGGTTATACTATATGGTCTGCTCGAAGAAATCAGCACTTAGGAAGCATAGTAAAATGATAGATTCTACCTCTATATTTATGGAAGCATCATTCCCTAATGCATTCTGCATACTGTTGCACTCTATGTAGGGTTTTTGTTTGTTTGTTTGTTTGTTTGTTTGTTTGGCTCAAGTACCCAGCTCTCATTGATTTCATCCATAACATCCCCAAATGCCTTCAGTGATTTTAATGCTGCCAAAACTGACTATGAATGCTTATTAAGGAGCTCTGTGGTGTCCAGGAAACAGAAAATGGAACAGGAAAATCCACAAATCAATCTGGCGATTCTTCAGGGTACTTGGCTTTCAACTTAAGAGTGATTAGATGCTCTCTACTGAGGCATTTTTGGCTTTTAACTCTATGCTACCTATACAAGTTTTCCAACTGAGAGTTCCTATCTCTTTAATAAGGCAAGTGCGGGGGTGGGGGTGGGGGAGGTAATGCATAGAGCTCTTATCTATTCTTTCAAGTAACTTCCAAAACTATCTTCAACTTCATCATAAAGTTCATTAGATCAAGAAAGTGTTCTCTGTTACACCAACTGATGGTGTCCATTAAGCATTGTTCTCTGCCACCAACTATGTAATGATCTCATATTCTTCAGTTACAGATCTTCTGCAATAATATTCTAAAGTGGAAGTTTGTTCCCTGAACCAGAATGAATCCTTCATACTCTGTTTTCTCCAGGTTTTCAGTGTCTGGAGAGCAATAAAGAGACTAAATGGGCAGGTTCTTGCACATGCACAGTTGGCATGTTGGCATGTACCTGCATCTATCTATCTATTTCTTTCTTTCTTTCTTTCTTTCTTTCTTTCTTTCTTTCTTTCTTTCTTTCTTTCTTTCTTTCTTTCTATCTTTCTTTCTATCTTTCTATCTTTCTATCTTTCTATTTCTATCTAGCTTACAATGGACTTGTGACTCCCTACTTTAATCACTGGGAGAAACTCTGTTTAAATCAATATTTATTTTGATGCTCAGCTCATTCCAGATTTGGCCAAGAGAGTCCCTTCAAGTTGGCTTCTGTGTCCTTTTGACATGCATTTCTTGTTCTTTGCATACTTCCTTGTTTTCTGGCACACTCAAATGTTCCCTGTGCAACTTGTCCTTTCCCTGCCTCAGTGTTGGAATCAGTCATTTCTTCAAGAAGTCTTGATTCCTTTAAGTGAAGTCTTTATTATTTAGAAGCCAAGATCTGTATGTTTTCTTTTCTTTTCTTTTCTTTTTTAACTTTATTTATTTATTTTTATGTGGTACTGAGGATTGAACCCAGTGCCTCACACATACTAGGCAAGTGCTCTACCACTGAGCCACAACACACACTGCCCCCCCC